TTTTTTTTCCAAATTTGTTGTCTCTTTTTTAGTTGGGCTTGACGCTGCAGATGATCCTCTACGGGTACTTCGTTTATCACAGCAAAATCAGCAGCCACAAAACACAGAACCCCAACGAGTAGGGAGTTTGTTGCGAGTTTAGAATCACTTCGAGGAAAAATTCATTTAGGCGCACATCCCTGCTTGGCTTGGTGCCTCTCCGTTAGGGCGCATACAAACTACTAGCGAAATGGAAATGCAACTAGCCGCCTTAGAAGCTTCACTTGCGCGAACTCCTTTACCCATGGACAGCGAACGGCCGAGAACGTACTTGCCGAAGATTCCATGTCCGTGCGCATCATACTATCCACAGGTGTTCAACTTTTATTCTTCTATCATTGGCATTGAGAATCTGTTCATTTCGTTGCTAAGCTGTAAGCTATAGGGAAAGTTTGCGTTGTTATAATAAGCGCATCTTGTTGAGATTTGAAGGGAGTTTTATGTGAAGGTTGATTCACAGCTGCCTAAATTCCTCTCGACAGCGTAACTCAGAAAAATAATCATTAGGCTTTTGTTTAAAATTCAGTAATTCATCAACTTCTTAGTGACTCAGAGCAGTTTGGCACGCAACAGAAAAAGTTTTATTTAAGCACTCTTTCTATAACGCTTTTTTCAAATTTAGGATTTTTACACCTATTGCAAATCATGTAGAATCGTCGTGGTACGTTTTCCAGGTTTCGGCACAAAACGTTGATACCCTTGAATACTACTTGAGATTAAGTCCAGAAACGCTATTTTTCATCTTTTATTATATGGAGGTTCGTGGAATTGTTAATCAATTCTTTGCCTGCTGGCACATCCACTATTTTGTTATATGATTTCAGGGCACGAGAGCGCAATTATTAGCTGCAAAAGCACTGAAGAAACTGTCATGGCGCTTCCACACAAAGTATCTCACTTGGTTTCAACGACATGAAGAGCCGAAACAAATAACGGACGATTTTGAACAGGTGAAGCTTTTGAATTAAGGGGTGGTGCGTATCAATTTCTTACAAGTTTCAGGGAACTTACGTGTACTTCGATTATGAGAAGTGGTCGCAGCGGAAAAAAGAATCGTTCACGTTTGAATATCGGTATCTTGAAGACAAGGATTTCGAGTGAAGCCGGGGCAAGTACGTGAATTTTTCACTATCTTAACTCATTTTAAGAAATTCTGCTAAGGTTTTGTTAATAATGTACACGTACAGTTAAGTGAAGATCCTGCAGATATTGTAAATGCATAGCACGAACTAACTCAGAAGCAAAACACATACCAAATAGCGGAGCACATAGCATTAAACCTGATATGTATTGTGCAATCGTACAACACGAGCGCTAATGTTATAGCTGTAATTTCTCAAGCAAACTTCTGCTTTTACATGTTTTACGTAGTTTCTGAGATGGTATAATTTCAAAAGTTATGAACACGTTCGGATCGCTTTTTGCAATTTCTAGGTTTCTTTGATTAAAGTTATTTCTTTCAGGTCTTGCTGTCATGGGTTTCGTTGTACAATACCTCGTGTCTCGTCCTTTGTTATCTCCAATCTTTCTCATCGCGTGGTCATCTCGAAATCGTGTTCTCCCCGGAACATCGTCATCATCTCCAGTGTGCTATCATCCAGTGCTGGCCGTTCATCTCATATCTAACTAGTGATTTGATTTTTCGCTTTCTTAACGCATCTTAGGATTTTCTTCTCATCAACTGGTCATTTCATTTCTGAGTTTATTAGTCTTCTGGAGCAGTATTCACGGTGTTGGGGTGTTTTCCGTTCTCGCCTTTAGTGTAGCTGTATTTCTAGTTAGTTTCTGTTTGTAAGATAACAGCAATTTTCTGTAAATGATGGGCACCAATTGCTCGGTGTGGGAGAGCCGCGGGATGTCTCTTTTCCGTTGTCGGAATAAATGAGATGTACGGTTGTAGGTTGTTAGGTGACTTTGAAGCGTTTCCAGGTATTAGTTTAGGTCGAGGGGACGCGAGACGTCTGTTCGTAGTTGGGTTTCGTATTCCATGGGTGTTTCCCGTTTGTTGCTTCCCTCTTACTGTGATTGTGAATAAGGCAGCTTATTCAGCCTCGAACGTTCTTTTCCCACCACCTGCCCGACACTAGATCAACGGCATAAATGTCCTCACCCTGTGTTAAACTGCGCGTTTCTAGCGAAGCTCGGTTTTTTCAGTCCCTCTATGTATGTAGTCTCTCCTTACGGTTCACAGTAAGATCTTCTCCTGTGATTCTTTCGTTGCTCTACTCTACTCCACTAATTCTCCCCAATGCTTTTTGGAACAGTCGTTTTCTACTGTAGTACGCGCTTTCGCGTATCATTGCTTTTATTCTGCTGCCATTTTACGGCAAGTTGTTGGGTGAGACGTAGGGTGTGTCCATCTTTACGTCACCTATTCTGCTCCCTTCCGTACAGACAACACTTTCGAGATGAGGCAAACGTCGCTATTACGAACCTCTGGCTGCATGCGATCCTCACTTTACAATTGCTATATCCATCCTCCTCCTCTTCAACTTGATTCTTCCTTGTTACCAGTTTCTATTGGAGATTTTTATTTGTAAAAATAAAATTTCTTATTGTTCATTCAGGATTATGGAGATCATGAGATTCATGAAAAATTCAGGGAGT